AACCTCTACATAGTCTATTCGATTGCACTATCTTCTATCTGAGTTAGGCTAGTGTAATCGAGCTCATATTCTGAAAATTCACAAGAATCATGACTGAAAACATATGTCTATTACAGAATAAAAATAATGCATATAATTTTCTACCATTTATAAGCGGAATACATAATTGATTATTTTCATTAGTCGTGTTATTTTTAAAATTCTCTGTGAATTATTCTTCAAAAAAATATAATTTATCATTTGTTACAACAATATGTTCATGATAGTTACCGTTTGATCAAAACTTGTGTTTTTTCTAATTACACCATACACTTTTTCTAGTTTCAACACACGTTTTTTAAGAAGATCAACTTCAGCAACTATAGATTTGTAATCGTCACTAGATTCTTTAGGAAAAAAAATATTCAATTGAACATTTAAAGCTTTATATACAATCGAAATTTTAGCGAGACTTACGTTGTACAATCATCATATCTGATCGTTGCTTTTTCTTATGTGTTTTTTTGTTTTTCAAATTCTCTAAATCAATATTTTTTCTAATGAGATTTTCTTTATTTTTTGACCATCGATCTTCAAATGTCAAGAATAAAATTTATGTAATATGTCTTTAACAACAAAACAAATCTACGTACTTTCTTGATCACTGTCAGACGAAGCAGATAGAGAACTACTGTCCACATCTTCCGTTTTTTTACGTTTACCAACATTTGTAACTTTTAATCGAGGAGTACTACAGAAAATTCGATTGAAGTCATCAGCGTCTTTGTCGAAGCCTAAAATGAAAAAGACAATTGTTTTTATCAAAACGAAAAGTCTTCACTGTGAGAATATATCTTTCAAAATTTTCGACTGTCGACCAATTAATTTTCAACAAAGAATGTCAGAATTTTAATAAATCTTGAAACACCTTTGGATAGCTTGTTCTTCTATAGATTTGTTTTGCTTATATATTTTAGAGAAGTCTGCTGTACAAAGAAAATGATAATGTAGCTCAGATCTCGAACTATTTATTCGTATATCTAATACAAAACTATAATAAAAGACCACTAGTACTTTGCTGACGTCGGTCAGACCGGTATGATACCTGTTGTTGTTTTTGTTGTTAGTTTTTGTTCGTTGGTTGTAATCGGTTTTTTTCTTCGGTTTGTCGTCGGTGTATATAAATCATCATCAAAATTCAAATCGTCGTCCATTGTTTGTTCTCGTAGATCCTGAGGGTGATATTCACATTCATGTTCTGGAATAAAGATTTCTTCACTTACTGATTCTTTTGAAAATCGACTAGAAATTTCTTCCATTTCTTGATGACTTCCTTCAAGTTACTTTGAAACTTTTCTTGTCAAAAAATAAATAAAATTTGATCTCACCTGTTTTAATGACTAGTAATTTTTTTCTTTCTCCATAAGCCTTGATATTACCAGCTTGAACTCCAAAAGGACTCAGTGGATCGAAATTAATTAAGGATGCCTTGACAATAGAATGCTTTTTCAGTTGAGGAAACGAAACAACTGAAAAATCAGCATATTTAGATGTTTTGCCAGCTGTTGTGCGTGCTGGCCGTTGAGTAAGTGTGTCCATACGTATCTGAAAAAAGAAAAATTTCTAAAATCATTAAATACTTTTATAAAAATTCGGATCTTTTGAATATATCGAATTCGAAACAAGTATCTACATCTAGATGAATTAATCTGAAACAAAAATATGATTTAGGTTGTTAAAATTTATCATATGAAAATAAATATATGCAATAGCTTTAAATCAACTATTAGCAAGTCGTATACTCTCAACTTAGCTGTCGCGAATCGAACGTATTTAGTTGTCAGTAATGATTATGAGATAAATCAACCTTAAATCTACTGTCATTTTTATGAAGTAACAAAACTTAAGTTACAATAAATGTAGTTTATAGAAATAAGCAGATATGTACATATTGTATATGAAAAGCATTTGCAAAAGAAGCAACAATAAACACATATCAGCAATATTTTTTCTTTTCAATCATGCTCTCTATCTAGATGCACTTCGGTATAAACTGATACGTTGGGTCCAATCCATGGCATGCGAATAACTACATTAGTTATCCAACAAGTCGATACAATTTTGTATGAGAACTTTTTGTCATGAAAAAAATGGTAATACATGTTTAAACGATCGAGAAGATTTTGAGGAACAGGTGTTGATAATAAGCCATTAGCTAAACTTTTATCTAGGCATTTATAATGTTTGATAAAGGCATAATATTCATTATCAGTTTGAAAGTAATAAATAACTTCACCAAAACAGATACCATGATTTTGTGGACAACTATCACTTTTAATCGATACCCAATAACTAATAGGGTATCCGCCACGCACATAGGATATTGAATGAAATTTTTTCAATCCTCTAAAGTAACGAGCATACCGCTTAACAGGCATTGATCCATCGAATTTGATATGCTTTTTTTCGCAGCATTTTAGAAAAGTATCATTTAAAGATCTAACTATTGCTTTATCTAAATAGTTTTCATCAAAATGTTCATGTTGAGTTAAGTAAGCAATATTTAATGTATTATCAGGATATAAAGTACGATCAATTTTGTACCAAGTAATGAATTGCTCGAGTATGAATTTTCTTGCCTTGACACCATTTAATAGCATGACCGATATATGATTCACGAGGAAAACATGAAGTCATTGATAGGGATCCATGCCTATTAACTTGAGAGAGAAGATGCGTATGTATATGAACTGTGCAAAGTTCTAACTTCGGCCCATAGTGCTCGGCCAAATGTTCATAGTAAAAATCAAAAAACCGATCAATATCATGTAATTCATCTTTGTGTTGATAAAAATGTAATACACGAATATAAATGAAATAATGCAAAAAATGTAGAGCTAATGTATCTGGTAGAAATGTAATCACAAATATTGGAGATGCATATAGTAAAAAGTCCCTGTATAGAAAAGAAATTGATGAATTCGATATTTGAATTACTTATAGATTGAAAATTATTGTGATAGAATTCTCTTTTTTGAAATAATAGTTGCTTACTTCGTTTTCAGCTCTCAGGAAAGAAATTTGAATTACGAATCGTATGAATATAAAGATGAATCTCTTTAACGTGAACAATAATTTAATAATGATTTTTACAGCGTGTATTCTTTTCTAGAAAATGCCAACTGTGTTCTAATTTTTTCGCTTGTTTTTCTACTTAAATGTACTCACTTCCACTGAACGTGCAGATTTTTCTTACCTAAACATTTTCGTTTTCCAATTAGTATATTGAGTTAGAGGCATAAACTGATATCCAAACGAGTGTGGTAGTGTAATAGATTGTAAAAAATTTGATGCTTGATCTAATACATGTGGTAACAGTAGATGATTCCAGTAAGTGATCAATGTTTTAAAATGTCCACTACACACTAGGTGCATATAATCGACTGCAATTTGGCTTGGAAATAACATTATTTTTGTTAAAGGAGTAGGTCCTTTAATACCACTTGAACTGAATCTTGCTCTATTGAGCATCGATAACTGAATATAATCATGATCAGTCTTGTGGGATGATGGTGTTTGTGAATAAGCATAAAATATTTGTGTTCCAATTGCATAGCCATGGATTTTACAGAATGGGCAAGCATCATAACCATTGAATTGAACTATGTTACAGTTGAGAGCAAGTGCAGGTAGATCAAATGTAATCAGTTGTATTCGAATATTAAATTTAATTTTTGTATTATCATGTAATTTTATTATTATTCCATCGTTATATAAATTATAAATTTGTTCAACGATGCTATTCCACAATAATTCTCTGCTTGGATGGCTGCCACCCAACCAAGCAGCAAATACCATAACTGCACTAATATGATCTCTTACAGGAGGGGGTATTTCAAGAATTGTTGCCTGAACTGGCCACAGTGATTTTCCACCAATTTTAGTCACAGGTGCCCCATCTGTGTGTAACATGATAGTTAGCTGTCTTTGATTTGTGTTGCCTAAACGTTCATATATGGAGACATTTAGTACATCACACGGCAAAATGTCCTTCGAACGAATGTAATACTCATTTATTAAATTTATATATCGTTTAGCTGTTGAAAAAATTTCATCTTTAACATTATTCGTTGCTAACTCAATGACATTCATAAAGGGACGCCTTTTATCATTAAATAAACATCCATCAGTGCATGTAAGTTGTTCAGGAGTATTTAAATGCGATAAACATTGACAACAATAATAATCCACCTGTTTTGAACAGTCAAAACCTAATGATAAAAAAGAAAAATACGTAGAGTTACCATTGAGTACTATGAGTAGCGAGAAGTTGAAGGAATATATTAGTATTTGATCGGATTCAGTAAATCTATAATTCGGAGTGATCTTATATAACCTATAGGCTTTTTTAAAAAGTTATAAGTTCAATAATCTTTTTCTCTAAACAAAATAATATTTCTATTGTAAGACAGCAAAAGTAAAACTAATGAGAAAAAAAGCACAAAAGCTAATGTCTCACAACACTTATCTGATTACTATCATTCAACTAAGGAATATTTTTGAGAAAAAATCTCTACAATATAAAAAAGTAAATCTGATACACTTCTTCAACTAAAACCTTAAAAAAATAGAAAACTAATTTAACTCAATAAAAACATTGTGATTCACTTTTTACAATTGGTTTCAGATAGTTTATTAGTAAAGTTAATATCTTTCTCAGGAGAATCATCGAATAAAATATTTTACATACCGATGACCTTCATTAATCCTTTAACAGTACGTGGTAATTTAACGTCTGTTGGGAAAAGATGCCGAATACCATCCAACAAATTTTTGATATCATTCTTATTCAAATTCAAACGACGAGCTAATTTGATAATAACAAGACAAGATTCACGTATAGATAAAGGAGACGATGAAAATAATTTAGTTTGATTGTTCATATCACACGAAAAAATAAATTCATCGATGTCATCATCATCATCATCATCGGTATCATTTTCGACTTCTACTTCTTCATCATTAACATCGCTGAAGCTTGATTCAATTTCGATTAAAGATTCATCAAGTGGCGAAGCTATTGCATGGGCAGCTGATGCAGTGGAATTGTTATATATACTATCAGTAGCATCATGGTCCATTATGTTTGAATCATTTACAGAAAGAGCTTCAGTTTGCATTAGTTCTGATATTTCATGAGTACGCTTTTTTGATCGGTTTTCCCTCATGCATTCTCGAGCACGCTGAGCCGTATTTTTAGAGCAATACGTATTCATCTAAAACAAAGGTTGACCAAAAATATAATGCAAACAATAAAAGCTAAAAATAGATTTTAAAAATAGTTAGTTTGTTCGCTCTAAACACTTAAATCTAATTATACCACTGAATTCATTGCAGCTTAGAGAGAATACTTATATTTTCTATTTTATATATTTACCTTGGTTTATATCTTAAAAACCACTAAATATGAAGCGAGTGATGCAAAACAAAAATAAAAGTATCAAACGTAGTAAAAAAGATTAAGAAGATTATGCTGTTCATGTTTCCTTTAATGGTAAGCAATATGTAGTTCTTTTTGGTGTATCTATAGTTAATTGCTGTTGAAATAGACTTCTTAAAATAACAAAACATAATATGTAAGAAGGCAGTAAATAACACGAAAGACTTGATTTTCACTTTATGAACTGATTTTTATTGTCTTTATCTATCCTCTTTGTTATAATCTCTTTAATTTCATTGGTTCACCGAATCATTATCACAATAAGCTTCATCTAATATTTTGCGTCACTTGAATGAATTAGTGTGCTTCTATTTGAGTAAACATGAGGAATTAAATAATTTTGGATTAAATAAATAATTAATGATGTCGCTTTATATTTTTCTCAAGATCTTTGAACAAGATAATTCGAATTCAATTTTCCTCTCTGATCTTGACATCTTGAAATCTTGCAACTGATCTTAGCAAGATCTGTGAGACAGATAAATCTGATATACATAAGAAATTATTTATCAGGGAAATGTCAGACGTCTTGTACAGATCTTGCCAAGATCTTACTTACCGATCCCAAGATTTTCAGATCTTGCTTACAAGATGTTCGACTAGGGCTCTTTTTGTTTTTTTGATTTAACATAGTCATTTACTATTATTGGTTAACCTTTTCTATTTTTAAATATAATCACGTTATATTCGTATTAGACTTAGGTCTCATTCAAATATTACATCAACGTGACCATGCAAATGAAATATAATTTTTTCCCCTATTTTATCAATTAGTAATATCGCACATGCTATTTAATAAGAAAAGTAAATTTACTACAACCTCTTCAAGTGACCTCCCTAGACAAACATCTTGTAAGCAAGATCTTGGTCAAGATACAAGGTACAGATATGTTAACAGATCTTGGAAATTTAGGTACAAGACAATAGAATTATCTTGTACATAAGATCTGTAATTAGATCTTAGGTACAGATATCAAAGATCTTGTTAACAGATTTTCAAGATCTTTTGTCTTTTATCTTGCCTTTCTTGATCTTGTACACTGATCTTGGCTACAGATAATTATATCTTTCTTATTAATAATCAAGATTTTAAAGATCTTATGGCAATGCCTGTATGCATATCATTTATTCAACATATCAAAAAAGTATTATTCGAAAATTCAATAAAAGTTGAATTTCGATAACAAAAAAAACAAGAAAACAAAATTATAATAAAACAAAACATCATAGTAAAAAAATCTATCGTGAACATCAGGTCAATGTTTACGAATCTAATAATATATATATGTATATATATATATATATATAGAGAGAGAGAGGAATCACTAACAGATCAAATAAAAATTACAAATCAACAAAAAATATAAATCACATGTTCATAAAATCATATTTCTACCTTTTTTTATTCTTTCAGACATAAATTTTCACAATACATGTCTAATTTTCTTGTTTTTCATCATTCATGGATAGTAAAATTACAGGTGTTGTTGGCTCTATATTAGTTGTTGTTTTTGTCTTGTATTTAACAGCATCATAAGGCATTTGTGCCAATGAATTAGTAATTGTGTGCGAAGTATGAGGCATATCTTCGGCAGTTATCAAACATTTTTGTTGTATAAACTCTAAAAAAGAAAAATATTCAAATAAATTTGTTATTAAATGAAAAAAGACTATCACATTATGCAATCTCAAAGTAAAATCTTCGGAATAGGTAATGTAGATGAGTCAAAAAATAGTTTAAAATAGATGACGAATGAATTATACAATCATTTCGTTTTTTTTATTGATTTATATCGATAAAAGCGGCATGATCGAATATTATTAATCAGCATGACAAACTCAGATAGACGATAGTGCAATCGAATAGACTATGTAGAGGTTCGAAATAAAAATATGTTTTTACATGAAATTTATATAACATTTATAAATAGAATGCTATTATACACACACATATATATAGATAGATAGATTCTTCGAATTATACTCTTTTGATAAAAGAATTTTTTTTTATATCTTGTAATTCATTTGTATACTAAACTCAATCTGTCTTCATATAAATCATAAACTTCTTCCTACATGGATACAAGATAGATTCGTTGAAAATTTTGAGACTTCGTGTTATTATACAATAACATTAATACAACTACTTATTACAATACTTGAACGAAATATTTCTTTAACTAGCAATTATAATTTATTCTATGATTGAGAATCATACTCCATTATTCTCACGATATAGAAATGTTCGAAGAAGAAAAATATTGATGTTTTCAAAGACATTAAAAGCGTAGATAATATTTTGATTTATAACAGAAATATTTTACCTTTTAGCAATAATTCATTTGGTTCAATAAAGTCTTTCCATTTAAATGATTCAAAACCAGAATTTTTATATAGTTCTCGTATTACTTTTGTTGGACGATTAATAGGAGCTCTTAATGTAGTTGGATCAACACCAAATATTTCCTCGCAAAAAAAAACATCAATCAATAATTATATGAAGATAATTCAGACAATTTATTACTTTAACTTTTG